AGCGACAATCAAGAATATAAAACATGAACGACAAATATAAAACACGTATGTTGAACCCTTGATGAAGCATATGAAATACAAGATGATAACATAAAAAAATTTACTCGAATGCAAAATTCATGTGATGAACTTCAAATACAAACCATCAATTTTGGCGGGGATGGAACGCCATATTTGAAGGGATCCCATGCGTAGTTCACACTCAGTCTTCAGCCGTGTCTGCATTCAGAAATATTAATACTTTTTTTTCAACATTTTTACCGTTTATCGGATCCCCTTGTGACATTCTGCAGCAATTGATTCCCAACCAAACCAGTTCGTATAAAGCTGTACCAGGAAGGAACCGACGCAGTTACCCAGTGACACCAGAGACTCACGTGACTACGTCTCACTAGACAGGCCTAAACAAGAAAACTAATATTCGATCTACTTCCCGGAAGCTATGATGATATGCAAGTCTTTTTTTTTTTTTCGTTGGCTTTATTTTTGCCCCTTCTTTAATTTCTTTCTTTCAGTTATTTGTTTTCATTTTTTTTTAATTTTTTTAACAAACATAAACAACCAGAAACCTATCGTAGTTTAGTAAAAATTTACCCTAATTGGCCTTATCGGACTCACGCGCGGTTAGGCCTGACAAAAAAAGAAAAAGGTTCTGTGTATCTTGTTATTGGCACTTGAGTTGTTTTTATTGTTGTACTTTGATTCGTTTAATTCGTTGTAAATTATAGCAACTCAGACATCCTGGACAAGTTTGGATCGCGTGACTAAATTGCGTGACTGTCAGTGATACGATGAGTGTACGAACTTCTTTCTGGGCGACCTGAAATTGCATGAAGACAAGCCATTATGTTAGAGAGCATCATCCAAATYATCGTTGTAGTTGGGTTCTCAGTGTTCTTGAGAGTGTTTGCCAAAGAACAATTCGGTGATTCGAATGCGTCAGACAAAAAACCGTTAAATCAGTGTTCCTTTGAAGCAACTGAAGAAGTTAGAATTAATCTGTGTACTTTGGAAGGAAATGTCATCCTTAATGTTTCTCAAAGGACATCCGCTGGGGGAAATTCGCCATCAATTAAAATGTGAGTATTTTACTATTGCCATCCCGTACCTAAGTATTAAATACTTTAATATAAGTTCAAATTCATTTATAAAAAGATTCAAACGATCTTTATATTAGTATTGTATATTATATAGCCATTAGATGAGCGGTAGCTACTGTGTTATATTTGAGGTTTTTATTTAACATCGGCTGTGTATAGGTCTACTGGCAACCTAACACGCTGTCCAATTTGGAAATGAATARCGTATAGACTGATTATAATTTAGCGGCCCGAAGAATTTTGAACAAAAAAACCGCGTCAAACAAAGACCAATTTATTTCTTGCTCGATCCGCCATTTTGATATTCCAGGACAAAACAAACAAAGCCGACAAGAGWAAGCTACGCGCTTCCGGTTTTTTTTTCTTCTTTTTTCCTATTCATTTTATGCCTATCGTTTGAGATTCTTGAGCATGTYCCGTCATAGCCGCCATGTTGGTTGCCTATGCAAAGCATTCCTCGTTAAGTCAGTCTCTTGTTAGATCAACCAACATTGCGGCTGTTCCATTGTTATTCATATCTCAAGGGATTTTTCGGTCATATGGTTTGTACTTCAAGAATTGTAAGAAATAAAATCCGTTCGAGCCACTGTCCGGGACGGACAGAAAAAGGAGTTAATGTTAATGACGTCATGCACGACGCCATTAATATGTGTTCAATCATGACGTCTAGCTGTAATACCTCGCTCGTCGTGCGTGATAGAGCCAATAGTATTTTCTTTCTAAAGCCATARGTATTACTGGATAAACCCTTTTGGTAGGATACAAATTGCGAAGGTACCTGATCTGTCGAGTACCAACTGCCCAATAAATTCYACGTCATGTCTCGTGAGCGAAGTAACATTCCAGTGTAAAGACAATCAAGATGGTGATGGCGTGTGTTTTAATGACCAACAAATCACGGCAGATTCATATGGCATGCTGGAAAATTGGACGCCGAAAACCGTATACCCTCCGGTGTCAAGCAATGGGAACGTGAAGGGATCGACTGCCTCCATCACCATGTACGGAAGACCTTGCTATTACTGCAGTGACTCTGATCTAAACCTGAGTACGGTGATTGGATTTTACTGCGATGAAAGAATAACGGTAATAAGTGATAGTTGAGTTAATAACGAGAATAGTCTAAAATCATTAGCCTTTTGGTGTTAAGGAAAAGGCAGTCAGCAAATGCCAGTCAATTTTTTACTCATATATTGGATCAAATTATATTGACATGATTTGACAAGTTTATTTAACACTTATCTTGACTCTTAACTTGGACARTGGTCACGCAACTGGTCGCCGAGCACGCTCGTTTTGGCGCCAAAAGTTCCGCCAAATCCACAGAAAATCCCGTCCCCTGATCAAACCACTTGGTTACGCAGGATAGCTAGAGCTTCTATGTCGTCTTAACAACATCAAATCATTCCATTTTTTAAATCTTGCATTTCCATCCACCATTTTTGTCAAACATAATTATCTGCGCCACTTTTTTTCAACAGGGTAAAGGAAAACCGATCATAAAACAACAACCAACCAAACACAATCCTGAAGTCTTGCTTCACTGGAACACATCTGCGGCTTGTTACGAGTTCATCAAAAATGAAAAATGCACTTTTCCCGATTTTTTTGAGACTTTCTGCAATGATAATGCTTTCGGCTGCAACTCCAGTCAGGTTCACAAAAACCATCAGTATAGTTTTCCATCGAGTAAAAACAGTTCTTTAAGGTAAGTTGATTGATGCAAAAGATCGAATTTTATATATCAATACGATCATATAAATATCACCGGTGGTGTGCGCTGCTAGTGCGCCGCCTGGAAAGATAGATGTATGGAGAAAGGAATGTAAGGAATGCAAGGAATGGAGGAAAGAGGAATGGARGCAGGGAGGGAGGGAGGAATGGAGGGAGTGAGCGTTAGGATAAAGGAGGAAATGGAGAGGGAGACAGGGAGACAGGGAGACAGGGAGACAGGGAGACAGGGAGCAGAGGATGGCGTGAGTCGAGTGAGGGACTGAGGGACTGAGGGAGGAAAGGAGTAATGGCGGGCTGAATGGATGTGAAGAGAGGGAGGGAGCAAGGGATGGAGCGAGGAAGAGGGGACCTGTAAATACAAAAAAAGTCAGACCTTCATCCAGGGACGTAGGAGCCAAGGGGGGCTAGGTATTGATAAATGATTTTTCCAATTTACATTTACGTTTTTACTACTTTTAGTTTCGTAAGTTCAAGTATTACATACACCTTTGGGTTTTGTGCGAGGGATGTTGAGTGTAACACAACAGATGACAAAAACGTTATGGTGAGTCGACCAGGGTTAATATTTTTTCTGTGAGTTGAATTGAACTGCGTTATTGAGACACGAAGCTGAGCCACTAAGTGGTGGTTTTTAGGTTCCTTCAAATAAAAACCTTAGAATGTTATCATCGATACTCTGAAACGACTTCGCGCACGACAAAGTCAAGGCACGACTAACTCAAGGCAAGACAAGACTACCTCACAGATCGAACCCTCAAGCAACCTCTGGGCTGATCTAAGTCAGGGAATGGCTAACTCACAGATCGAACCCTGAAACAACCTC